CTTAGGGCTTCTGCCTCTGCAGTGTGCATTTAAGTTGGCATCTTTGAGTGTCTGTGGTAGGTTAGAAGATGGGAAAAGCGATTTTATAGTCATTTTGAACTGCAGTCAAAGATAATCGATTTACTTCCTGGTTTGTTTGTCCCAAAGGGTCCGCCCGTTCCCTGGTCACCCATTATTTCCTGCTGCGGGTGTTTGGGCCTGGGATGGCTGTGTCCAGCAAGGACAAAGGGAGACACTCGAGCGGAGCCAGATGGGGAGGGTATGGACTTTATATTTTCTTGTTTTCTGTATTTTTGATGCTCTTGCATTTGGGGCCTGGAACCTGAGGACGCTGCGCCTTCCAGGGCTGCCCTGCTCCGAGACTTAGCAAGCTCCTCTGCCATCGCCTCTTTGCTGCAGCAAAGCAACCATCCACAGCCCCAGACTAATCGACTCCTTTATCAAACTCTCATGCCAAACCAATCCTCCCGCTGCCCTAAATCACCCAGGACCAGATTCCAGACAGCCAGGGCCCATCCCTGTCACCCAGAGCAACTGGGACTGTTCCGAGGATTCAGCCCTCAGTTTGCATCTCCCACTCCTTCCGGAGGAAACCTCCCCGGCCAAGCTCTGTCCTCCCTCCTCTTCTGTCCCGGACCAGGGACCCCCATCTGGCCTGCAGGGTGGACACCTATTATGAGAGTCTCTGGGCCTAGATTCTTCCTGCCTGATAGTCATATCTGTGTTTTGTTTTTGTGACACTGGAAATTGAATCAAGAGCCTTCCTGGTGAGCTACGTGCCCAATCCACTTTTGTTTTTATTTTTTAGATTTTGAGACATAGTCTTGTTAAGTTGCCCGGTCTGAGTTTAAACTCTAGATTCCTCCTGCCTCAGCCTCCCAAAGTGCAGGGATTACAGGGGCGGGGGGACGGGGTGCCACCACATCAGGCTATGCCTATGTTTCATGCCATAGCTGATTTAAACAAATCCTGGACACCTTTTAGAACAGGGAAGGCTTTGGTGATAACACCCATGGGGGAGCTGGTTCAAGATAATTCACTGAAATTCTGCCTTCTAAGTAGTCTCTCTCGGGTGGAGCCCCAACATCTGGTTGGTCCTCCCTGTAGAATGGGATACACTGCCTGGGAGGAACTCTGCCTTTTAAAATTGAAATTGTAACGATAAAACTTTAGATTCTCAAGCAGTTTAAGGAAATGATCCAAAGATAGGCTTCACCTACTTCCCTTCCTCCCAGGGTAGCATGTTCGGAAGTCAGAGCACAGGGTCACACCAGGACACGGACTGGTCCGGGCTAACAACTGCGGCAGGTGTCCCCAGGCCGGCTGGACTCGTGTGTGTGTGTGTGTGTGTGTGTGTGTGTGTGCGCGCGCACACGTGTGTGTAGCTCACACAGCTTTATCACGCGTCCCAGGGCACGTGGCTGTCTCCTCCATTAGGACACAATGTGGCCATCACCACAGGGCTCTTCCGGTTGGGCTCCCTTCCACGGGTTGCACCCCTCTATCACTGTCCCATGCCCTGGGCTCTGTTCGTGGACTCCGACTCTCTCCCCCCTGTCGTATTCAGGCTGGGTGAATCCTATTGCCGTCTTCGTTCAGCAATTCTCTCCTGCCATCTGAGCTCCTGAGCCCACCCAATGGCTGTTGTAAAGTTTTGGATCATGACATTCTTAGTTCTGTAACTTCCCCTCAGATCCTCTTGGTAACTTCCATGACCTTGGTGGAATCTCCCTCATTTTTCATTTGCTTCATTCGTCGGACATCACTCTGCTTTGCTACATTAGGATTTAGTTGGTCGCCCTAGCAGTGCTGTGGCCGTTTCTTTAAAAGCCTGATCACCTTACCCCCACATCGGATCCACCTCAGGGGTGCTCTCCAGCCGCTATTAGTCCTTGCTCCAATTGTAATTTTCCTGGTTCTTGAAATGACAGATGATATTTTGTTTGTGTGTTTTGTTTTATTTTTACAGTACTGGGAATTAAACCCAGAGCTTTCACCCAAAGCTACATTCCTAGCCCCCTTTATTTTTTAATTCTGAGACAAGGCTTTGATAGGTTGCTACGTTGTCCCAGGATGGCCTGGAATTTGCAATCCTCCTGCCTGAGCCTCCTAGAGTGCTCGAGTCACAGGTAGGCACACCATACCCGGCCGATGGGCTGTGTTCAACCATATCTTGGGCCCCTCGTCTGCTGTTGGGAGCCCTGGGTCCCCTCTGCCCTTTCAGAAGGTGCCTCCCTGTTTAGCTCCGGCATGCAGCTTCTGGGCGGCTTCTCCGTTGGCCCCGGCTACAGTTCAGGTTTCAGGGGCTCTGCGTTTTGCTCTGGTCTGCTGGGCTAGTCTCCAGGGCCGGGGCGCCTGCTGCTCCCCAAGGCGGACCTCCAGCTGTCAGTCCGTGACAGGAGGCTCAGTCTCACAGGAGGAAGACACTTCCTGGGCCGCTTCATGTGCCTGGGCCCCTTCTCCCCTCTTTGCCCGTGAGAGAGGGGCTCTCAGGATCTAGTGAAGGCGCCCCCTTTCCAGCACAGCTGGGGTGCAGGTTGCGAAGCTCCTCTTGATTCAGGGCTAGGGGGTTTCTGGGCTCCCTGCTCTGGCTGGGCCTGATCACCTGCCCTGTCAGGATGGGTCCAGGACACCCTGTAGCGGCGACTTTCTTCTGCACCTTGGGGTCCTATTCAATTTGCCTCCTTCTCATTGTCTTTCAGGGTTCTCCTTCAGGGGGCCCTGGAGTTATCTCTGGAGTTTATCTTTGAGCTGAGCACAGGTCAGGAAGAGAAAGGATTTTATGCCATTTTGTCTGGAAAAGATTTGTTCTCTTTCTTTAGAGAAATGAAAGATCTCATCTTCTTTGCATCAGGCGGGTTTGTCATCTTCCCAGGACTGCTGTTGCTCCCGTGCAGAAGAGGGGAGGTGGTCGGGAGGCAGGAGGAACTGGAGTCGGGATGGGGAAGGTGCAGAGCTTGATTCTGAAACCCTTAAAGAAGCAGCTGCCACACTTCCAGGAGAGCAGAGCGTTAGCTGTCAGCTCCCTAAGAACGTCTCTAAAGCATCATGTGTATAAGATGAGGCCCCGTTTTGCCTCACCGGGGTGAGGGACAGCTCCCGCTGACAGAGCCCCGAGTCTGGGACATTTTTGAGAATGCAGAGTGCGGTTCCAGGAGGGTCTGGCAAAGCAGGGGACCCTGTCTGCGGTTTGCTGGCCTCTGGGCTCCTGAGCCCGCTCAGATTCTTCCTGTCAGGGCAGGTGTGGGGTCTGGGAGGCAGCCGTCCAGGCAACCACTGGAAAGAATGAAGGCTCAGGGGCCTGGGCCTGGGAAGAGCTTGTTCAGAAGACCCAGCCAGCTCCATTTTTTTTTTTTTTTTTTGGTCCTGGGGATCGAACTCAGGCCCTTGTGCTTGTGCAGCAGGCGGCGAAACCACTGAGTTAAATCCCCAGACCGGCTGGCTCCATCTTGTAGGCTCCCCCATGAGGGGTCCAGACTGGATTTCAGTGACAAGACATCCTCACTAGTCAGTGGTGGAGCTCCACTGATTGTGTCTACTCAGCCCTGCTTCTCTTTTCTTAGCACAAGGACAAGTGTCTTTTCTGGGAAACCCACTTCCTGGGCTTTGGGTGAACTGCCCATCTCCCCTCCCGGGGGTGGGATGAGACGCAGGGCTGACCAATCAGAGTACCCCATCGTTCTGGGCATGCTGCAGGCTTTGGGATAGGCATCCATGCAGGGTGGGTGAGATTCTTCTCTAAGACCTTCCTGTCAGGTGTATACAGAGATGCTTCCTGTCACAGTCAGGCCACTGAACTGACAAGGTGTGAGGCTAGGGCTCCCCGTAGCCTTCAGGCCTTCCCTGGGAAGGCAGTGGCAGAGAAATGGAGAGAGGGATAGGCATCGTATGATTCATGTTGGGAACATGACCAGACTTCTGAGCCATCTGGACTGGTAAATTGTCTTTTTGCCTCTACGCTGGTGTGAGTCGATTTCGGTGACCACAGACTGAGAAAGTCCTTTTCGTGAAGTAACAAACAGAACCAGTTAACTGTCACATGTCTTGGGTGGCCCCAGACTCCGGTTCATTAAAGCAAGACCGGGTATATGGGAAGGGGACCCAACAGCTGACAGAATCATGTACGGGCCTGGGAGTGCTCCACTAGAACCACCAGGAAAGAGAAGGCCCAAGAAACCTCAGTGGCAAAGTGACAAACATTGCCTTCTAGAAGAGGGAAAACCCAAACCTTCTTGACCACGAAATGCCAAGTCAACTTTTGGCCTGGTAGAGCCAGCACCTCAGGCGGGGCTGTGAACCTGTGGGCCAGACTGCGGAGTAGGTTCCGTGCTGACCTGGCCTACAGAATGTCACCTCCTGGATGCTCCCGCCCGAGTTCACTCTGCAGCTCATCATATTAAATCCACAAGAAATCCAAGATGCTCATTTAATGCAGTATTTTTTCAAACATACTTGGAAACAGCTTAGTTTTACACCAAAAATCAATGATTTCCTATTAAGTGCCCAACACAGAGCTTTGCACTAGAGAAATAGCAGCACCAGACAGTCTGCCCTCAGGGAGCTTCCGGCCCGAGCCAGCGAACCAGTGACCCCACGATCTGCACACTGGAATCCCCGACTTAGGTGACCTCCACCCTTTCTCTGTGTGGAATCAGACCACCTTTAGCAGCAGTCTCATCCAGGACACACTGCCACAGTGACAGTTGTGCAGGATATAGAAGGGGCACCTAACACAACTATCCATATAAATGGCCCCCTTAGAGGTGTGCAATGCTCAACCCACACTGCGGTCCTCCGTGACTCCGTCTGGCTGTTTGGTTGTAAATCACTACTCCAGACACAGACTCCACTTGTCCCCGCCCTGGTGACTATGTTTCCAGATTCAGTCACTCTTTCTTGTTTCAGCTTTTCATTTTGAAAGTTTTGTGACCTACAGAGAAGTTTAAAAACTAATACAATACACACTGTATCCTTGATTGACAAATTTTGCCCTGCTCGGTTTTTGTTGCATATGTGTTCACACATGACAACACACACAGAATATATTTATTAGTGAATGATTTAATAGTAAATCTCATCCACAAGCAATCCCCATACATTTCTTACACACACCTAAGTATTCTAACAATAGTTCCATAAAATCATCTAACAGTCTATGCCCAATTTCCTAGTTGCCTCTCATATATACTTTGGAGCATTCTTAAAAACCTGGCTTTCTATTTGGCTGCTATTTTTCTTGATTCTCTTTCTTTTCTTTTCTTTTAATGTAATGCAAGTAAATATTTATAAAGAAAATACTAAAAAATCATTCTTCATTCTTCTATATAAACACCAAAATTTCATAATAAAATAATCAGAGAATCACAGTAGATAATAGACCATGTACTTAAAGAATGGCCTAAATGTTTCTGAGCATACAAGTCATGGACAAAAAAGGACCCTCTGTTACAAAGAAGAAACAAATAGATAAAAGCACAAAACTCTCTCTTGGGTATTGGGGTTTGAAACAAGCACCTCCACATTGAGCTACATCCCCAGCTTTATGTATTTTTCAGAGACAGGGTCTCACTAAGACCTTGTTGTTCAGGCTGGGCTTGAACTCATGATCCTCCTGCATCAGCCTCCCAGTGCTGGGATTTTAGGAGCACCACCACACCTGGGACTCTTCCTGCCTATTTCTCAGGTACAATGGCCACCTGGCCTTTTGGTTCTCATATTACTGACCCCTTAGAGAGCCAGACCAGCTGTCCCGCTGACCGCCTCATGTCTGGGTTAGTCTGACCCTCCCCACGTCAGATTCAGGAGCCCCGTGTGGGTGACACTCCCTGGGAGGCAGGCGACACAGGTGGCCGAGCTCTTTGCTGGGTGCAGCTGGTGCGTGTAGGGCCTTGCTGTGCAGGCACCGCCCCTCCGAGGGCAGTGACCTTTTGGGCATCGTGCTGTGAGTCTGCGAACTCCCCAGTATTCTACACAGCCTCCTGCTCCCCAGGGCTCCCAGGCTCCCGCTCCCAATGCAGTGACAAAGGACACCTTATGCTGCCTACCGTGTTCACCAGGACGCAAAGGGAAATGGTGACAAGGGTCCCTGTGGGTCTGGGGCTTGGAGCCTAGAAGGCGCCGGTGATGGGGATCAATGGCAGACCCTGCCCTGGGGGCAACGTGGACGGCTAGCCCTGCATGCCCTCTGATGGACTGCAGCATCCTCTTGGGACACCAGGGAGGGCTTCCTGGAGGAAGCTGACGACAGAGGATGAAACAGGGCTGGTTGTGGGGAAGCATCCCTGTGGGTTGGTGGTCCTGGCCCCTGCAGCTGTCCCATTGTGGCTGCAGGGCTGCAGGAGGACCTGCCATTTAAGAAGAACGTCACACGGATGCAGGGAAAAGACGCCCTGGGTGGCAATGGCGACAATGGGATGGGGAAGCAGCTTTGGGTTTGGCAGGGCTTACAAGGGTGCTGCGAAGCTTCGCAGGGCTGGGTGCACAGGGATCCAGGCAGATGATGCTGTTTGTTGCCCGGGGAGGCTGGGATGGTGCGGGAGGCAGCAGGGCGGAGCCTGGGTCCAGTGAACAGGAGCTGAGCTGCCTCACTTTGGGGATTTTCACCTGCAGCATCAAAAGATTCAAGACGGAGTATTTATTTCCTCTTTATAATTTTTGTCTGGAATTCTGATAAACTCTTTCTGGGTGAGAAAAATCACATCAGTCCTAGGGCAAAGGATTTGATCAGAGGTCCCTATGGGAAGAGTGTATCTTGTGCACAATCTGTTATTTTAATAAGGATCAATCATCATTAAACAAGGTGAGCATTAAAACTGAAGCACTAGGGAGACCTAGTGGGTGGAACGTTGCTGGGTATTCAAGGTGGTGGTGATGAGAATCTATCCATTTAGCAAAAGTGCACACACATACACACAAATAGGTGTATGTAAAACTGGCACACAAGATCTGTAGATGGTACCAAGGTCAGTTTCCTGGTTCTAAAATTGTGTTAAAGTTGAGTGTGGGCTGGGGATTTAGCTCAGTGGTCCTGCAGCCTACCTCGCAAGCATAAGGACCTGAGTTCAATCCCCGGTACTAAAAAAAAATAAATAAATAAAAATAAATAAAGTTGAGTTTATATATTTCTGTTACCATGGGAAACTCCAGGTAGGGGTACATGGTGCATCATTTTTGGGGGGTAGAGTCCCCTTTTTATGCACACTTTTTAAAAATGTATTTTATTAGTTGTCTATTAATTTTAGAAAATATTGGGTTCCCGTGGGGTGCTTTATGCATGCATATAACATTTTGATCATATCCATCTGTAGTTACCCTCCTTTGTACTTTCTCCACGTATCATTTCTGCAACTTCCTCTGACTGTAATTATTTCAAAAAAGCTTAATGACTAAGAAAATTTGCATTTGGAAGTAAAATAGACACAGTAGTCATTTTACACTTGATCTTAGCCAAAAGGCCAAAAAGCGATTGCACAGTAGTTATTTTCAAAGTCTGCACCCAAGGAATTCACTTTTCACTCACCTCGCAGCACAAGGAGGGACATTGCAGAATTGGCGAAAGTCTGGTGAAAGCCGAGCTCGAACTCAGAACTGTGGAACTCAGCCTGACTGAAATGTTCTGAGTCCGCTACTGTCTCACCAGCTGCCGGAGTGACTTAGATCACTGCTCCTCGGGAACATGTGCCCTCCACTGTCACTGCTCTGTTCCCCCCAGTGAGGGATGCACTGGCCGTTTGCTCTGAACCTGACTCCTCTCTCTGTGGATAAGGGAGCAGAAATGAGGAGGAACAAAAGCCAAGAGGAAGAATACAGACATTCCTCATTTATGACCAGGTTCTGGTCCTGCACCTGGGTCATTAAATGAATTGGTTGCTAAATGCGGAACTGTCTGTGGTCCACACATTACAATACTCAGAAAAAAAGACATGGTCAAAGGAAACTCTAGCTTGAAGACTCTGCTTTTATTTGCGTAACTCTAACACACAGCACTGCAGTGTGTAACGGAACATGAAGCTACAGCACTGTACTGTACAGTACCATCAGCAAAAATCACAGTGCTGTATAAACAAGGGGCACTGTACCGAAAAAGACAGGGGCTCTATAAACAAGATGTGTACAGCTATACAACAACAAAAAAAAAAGTCCAAGCAGCAGGTCATCAGTCCAAATAGTTGCTAACCAGGTAAGTCCTTAAACAAGCAACACCTGGACGCTGGTTTGTTACACCAGCTCTTTATGGAAGGCTGAGAATATACATATTATTGTTGGTACTGTTAAGTCACAGCACCGTGATAACATAAGTTTGGACTAGGAAAAAATTTGATCAAAAATTAAACTTTGAGCTGGGCATGGGGAGCGCACCTGTAATCCTGTACTTGGGAGGCTGACGCAGGAGGCTCGCTGTGAGCTAGAGGCCAGCCTGAGCTACTTAGTGAGAGCCTGTCTCAAAAGACCAACCAACCAGTCAATCAAAAACTATTGCCACACCCAAAGCCTCAAGATAAAGCAGGTACCACCTGGTCAGTCTGTGGGGGACCTTGACTGTAAGAGTGGCACTTGGGACAATACTCGCTCTGCTCTAGGCTTGAGGTGACGTCTCTAACTGGAGAGACTGAGAGTGGACAGCTGCCCTTGGGGGGGTGCAGGCCTCTGCTCATGCTCTCTCCTGGGGCTCAGCCTCACCGAGCAGTAGGGTCCAGTTGGGGTGGAGGGGCAGGAACCCCCAGCTCCCTCTGAATCCAAACTGCACCCCCGCCCTGTTCCTCTCTGGTGCACAGGGGGATGCTGCCCTAATCCGCGTTTCTATTTGTCTATAGCTTCAGAGCTCAAGTTAGAGGAGGCTGTGACTGAGCCACTCCTTGAAATGCTGTTATTAACGGCTCTGACAGCAAATGAGCTGATGTGGGAGAAGGAGAAAGAGACAAAGAGAAAATACTGCCCTTACCCATGCCGGACTGCTGGATAACTTTCCTCCAGGGCTAGATGGTTTAAGCCAAAGCAGAACGGAGCAGTCAGACATTCGGAACACCAGACTGAGGCCCCTGACCTTTGTGTTGGAATCATCCATGTACCTTAGACTATCAGTGTGCAGAAAAACACTTTGGTCTTTTTGTGTCCATCCATCTTTTGTGTGCTGCTACAAATGCTTACAGCAACACAGAGCTGAAGTCTACTTTGTATCAGATGTGGCACTTCAGAGAATCCTGTAATTTATTGAAATGTTGTTTAAACTGTGAAGGTTCAGTTCCTTTTTCCCCCAAACTCTTTCTTTATGCTTTGCCTTCTGTGTTTGGAACATCAGCAGAGCCCTCCTGTGGACAGTTTAACAACTGTAATTTGCTGTTCTTACAAAGCAGCTTTCCAGAGTAGGCCATTATGTCAGCTTTGTGTGCTAGCTGGTGGGTTTGGATCCAGCAAGCTGAGGACTTTAATTGAATGTTGTACTGCCATGTGCAAACTGAATGTGATTATAGGCTAGATCTTGGCGATGCCAGAGGAAAAGACAGCCACATCCAATTCGACGCATTCAAGAAGGGAAGACAACACAGGAAGAAGCAGGGTCATGTCATCAGAAGAGTCACGTTGGGTTTGGGACATCCTTGCTCCAGTGCCATGTATTTTCTGAAAGCCCAAATCTAAATTTAAAACAAGATAAGGAGACTTCCCTAAGAACACAAACATTTTGCCGAGAATTACAACATGCATCCATAAATGTGAACCACGTTGGATTCACCGCCCAGATCAAAATCAACAAGCTTTGGCCTCTCCTCCAAATTCTCTCTGACATTCAGCATGCTGTTACTGTCTGACAGCCACTCATTCTGGATCCTGATCCCAGGATTGCCATCCTGCTATTCAGATGTCCAGAAGCATTTATACACCACCGAGCTCCTGAACGGCACTTCCTCTGAGCCTGGAGCCCTGCATGGCTGGTTATCTGCCCTCAACACTGGGCCCCAGAGTTTTCTGACCCTTTTTTTTTTTTTGCAGATGAGGACTCCGCTGTCTGCCTGATCGCTACTTCCTAGTAGAAGTGTCTTTTCTTCCCACTAGCTTGAAAACTCCACTTATCATCTCTGACCTGTGGCTTCCCCATGATGCATCTAAGTTCAGACTTTTTGACATGTTTGTCTGTTGTGGCCAGCAGTGTGCTTCTCCAGGTTGGGAGATCCTATCCCCTTCTCTGTGGTACAGCCACGACCCTATTTAACCTTCTCTTGCCTGTTCTATGTGCTCTATAGGGTGCTTTCTGGTATGATCTTCATGTCTCTTTATGCAACTTTCATATTTCTATCTCTCTGAGCTTTATATGGACTCGTTTCTTCAATCCTATCTACTATATCTTACAAAGTCCAATTTCCTCATCAGTTTTTCAGCTTATTATTTATCTCATTTAATCAGGTTTTTATTTGAATAACTATAATTCCCAGAGACCCCTGCAGTTAGGTTCCAGTACCCTGCCCAGTGTGGAACACAGGCCTGAGAAATAAATACAGTAAGAAACAGAACTAGGAGAGAGAAAGCAGAGTGCCTCGACAGAGGCCCTGGGCAGTCCCAGGCACTGACTTTTATTGACAATCAATGGGGGAGAAGGCGAGCCACGTGTGGTTTCTATTGAAACTAATGTAAACGAGGCTCAGAAAGGACAAGACAAAGCATTCTCAAATTAGGAACAGAATAGACAAAATATATGGCTGTAGTTAGAACACTGCCCTTCTAATCAGAAGGTTTCAGTTGTGGGAACGGAATGTGGGTGCGAGTTACCCTGACCTCGGCACGTAGGCTTAGGCCGGACTCACTTCTGTAAACAAGCCGACTGTGGGGTTAGCTCTTCACAGCCCGCCTCGGGCATAATCAACATTACAGTCCTCTGCATATAATTATTTCCAAATTTGGGGGTTTTATCCACATTGATCTTGATTCCTAGCAACCCGCTCTTTCGTGACTCCCTGTTCTTGTTTAGAGTTACCCTTACTTCCTTTGCTTTTCTAAGGATTTGAAAGAGACTGTTACAGGCCTTCCAGTTTTGTCTATTTACCCATTTGTCTTCTGGGTGTGTATTTTCCCGCTGATTTTGTGGCTTTCTCCTGAGGCGTCTGATTTCTGGAACACAGACGAGTTTGTTTGCGTGCCCCCTTGGCACAGAGTTCCATTGGTTCTCCCCCAGGTATCCGTGTTACCATCCCTGCAGTCTGATTCCCCCAGAGGCCACAACGAGGGAGAAGAGCCGATGTCCCCAGCCTGGGGCCCCCACTTCAGAACCCAGCAGTGGCTCAGCCTGGAAATGGGCAGTGGCATGTAGTGCAGTCCCGGCCCCGTGTCTGTGAGCTGGGAGCTGGCAGCTGCTCCGTGGCTGCCCTCATGGGGATGCTGAGCGTCTGTGAGTCCTTCAGGGACAGGAGGACGATCGTGGCCCTTCCCCTCCTGTTGGTGTCAGTTCACCCAGCCCAGGGATGCAGCGACGGCCCTGCACCCAGGGGTCTTCTGTATCCACAGGCTCCACACCGTTGGGTTCAGCCAACTGCGTGTTGAAGACATGCAGGGAAAACCTGCGTCTGCACTGAACAGGTACAGACTTCTTTCTTGTCATTCTCTGAATGTGACAGCAACAAGCATTTCCACACTATTCACCTGGCGTTTGCACTGCAGTGGGCATTGTAAATGGTCTATGGACAATTTGTAGCTAGGGGCATTCTGGAAGCCACCTCCGGGGACCCGAGGGATGAGTGTGCCTTGTTATTTACCAGTGCCTGGGCCATGACTCCAGCCCGGCCCGGCTCTCTGTTCTCCCGCTCATTTGTGGCTTGCAGATTCTGTTGACCTGGACTCCCCTACCTGGACTGGAATCTGGTCCTCTCTGTCCCTCCCTCCCACCAGTCCCTCTTGGGGTCCCCAAAGGGCCCCCTTGCTGTTCTTACTGTGAGCTGGAGCTCTCCTCTCCTCCCTGTCACTGGGCACTGCTGGGCCATGTGGCCCCACCAGCCCTGCCTGTTCCCCTGGGCTGCAGGCCAGTGCTGCTGTCCAAGGGCGCCTGGACCTCGGCCCTCGCAGGCTCCCCGTGAAGCCTTTTCCCTGAGCGCTGCGCTGTGGATGTCAGGGGCTCAACCCCACCCGTGCTGCCCTCGTCTCCCCGGGCCCTGCACGGCTCTCCAAGCCTCTGCCTGTTCACGCCCGCCGGGGTCTGCCTCACCCTCGCTGTCCCTGTGCCAGGGTGTCAGGCTCTCCCCCAGCCCCACTGCGAGATCAGCTCCTTCCCCGAGCATCTCCCAAGGAAGCCCTCGCGCTGTCTCAGGTCTCTTCCTTCCAGTGCCACCTTGCCTCGCACCTGCACCTGGAACTTGTCCTCCCTCAGGTCCATGAGCCTCCAAAGGGCAGCGTTTGAGTCATTTTCTTGTCTCTGGGACACAATACCTGACACCCACAACTTAGGGGAGGAGAGGTTTATTCTGGAGCACGTTTCAGCCCATGGTTGGTCAGCTCCAAAGAAGAAACAGTGTGGCAGAGGGGCCTGGAGAGGAGAGCGGCTCCCTACCTGGTGGACAGGAAGCAGAGAGAAGGGAGGAGCCAGGGAGGGGAGGAGCCCTTCTAGGCCACGCCCACAGCGTCCACCCCTCCCCCGTCAGGCTCCGCATCTCAGCATTACTTTTAGCTTTAAACTCCTCAGTGGACTGCTGCGCTGATTCACAGCACGTCCCCATGATCCATCCGATCACCGCCCCAAAGCCCCAGCGATGAGCGCACCGGGCCTGGGAGGCACCTAGCTCTAACCACAGCAGCAGGCTTACTTCCCGTCTGTGGAGTAGGGTACAGCCGGGGGTAACGCGCCCCTCTGCTTCCTTCAGCCTATGTGGGCTGGAAGTGGAAATAGCCACCAGGAAACAAGCCCTTGCAGCCCGAATCTGGGGGATCTGCTTGTATCCACGCTTCCGCTGTGCTTTCTCTGGCGGACTCTGCCGGCGGTGCAGCAGAGATACACTGCACTGATTACATGAAACCCAGGGGAGCCTGAGCCTTGCCGCATGGTGGCTACTGCTAAACGCAAACGCAGCTGGGAGACATAAAACTTAGAGGGGCAGGGGGTGGGCAATACCTCATTTACTCCTCAAGGCCGGGACGCAGGCCTGCAATGCTCGGACTTGGAGGGGCCTGGGCGTGGAGAGGACACGGCTGGCGGGGGTCAAGCGCGGCGCCCTGGGAATGCAGGGGGGAGGCCGCAAGCGGATGCTGCAGGGCAGCGAGGACGCTGCGCTACAAACACAGTCTGTGAGAGTTCATCCCAGCCCCGCACCAGGCCTCTGCGCTCATTCGTGGGCTGGGGTCGCCTCCCCGGGGCCTCAGGCCTTTGGGGTCAACAAGCTGGGTCCCTGGGTGGGGCCAGCACAGGGACTGACTGCCCGCATTGGGACCCAGCTGTGACCAACTCCGGCCGCTCATCGGCCACTCCCGTCGCTGACGCCGGCTGCCCTTCTTTGGTGCCCGTGGAGCCTCAGCACCTCTATTAATAAACGCGGCCGCGCCCACTCCCAGGCGCCTGCACCTGTGGTCGCCTTGGTGGGAGTCAGGCTGGGGGAGCAGGGGAGCCTCGGGGCAGGGACATCTCGTCAGCCACACCGGGCCCCAGGGCTCAGGCCACGCTCCAGGTCTAGAAACGCTGCGTGGTCGGGTGCCATCTTCTGGGTTTTCCGTCACCAACTTATTCCACAGACATCAGGGACAGCCCCGTGCCAGGCGCCACGGCACAGGTGGCTCAGCAAAACGAGCACTGTCTCTCCGGGGCCCACAAGCCTTGGGCCTTGGACACACGGCAGAGTCGGGACTGCACAGGCACACGCGCACACACGCACACGCACGCACACGCACATGCACACACATGCACGCGGTTATAAACAGCTCCAGTGAGGGAAAAGTCCTCGATGCTCTGAAAGCTGGTGACAGGGTCTGATTTCGGTTTGGGTTTGTTTCCTGTGCCACTGGGGTTTGAACCCAGGACCTTTGCACTGAGCTCCATCCCCAGCTTTCGTTTTTCTTCTTCTTCTTCTTCTTCTTCTTCTTCTTCTTCTTCTTCTTCTTCTTCTTCTTCTTCTTCTTCTTCTTCTTCTTCTTCTTCT